CAGTAATTAAATACTTTTGTACCGCGTTACTCCCAACACTGGACGTCATATATGTGACGTGTCGATGTCTTGTTTGTAGTCATATTAATTACGAACTTTTACAAGCTGATAAATCTCAAACCACATGAGAGATGTGGTCGAAACACACATCATTAGTTTTCATTTAAATTGCAGACCAACATATGCGCGATCCAGGGCGTAAGGCAAAGCGGGTTAGAAAATTGCTCTTTTAGCCCCATTGACTTGCATTCGAGGAGACTTAGGGTGTTTCTCAATGCCAAGGAACCTTGCCTTGATGTCTTGGCCCTGCCCCAGTTGCCTAGGAGATACGTCATCAGGAGCCGCCAAGACGTGTTCCAATGTTCATGTTTGTCACGAACTCCTCGAGCTGATTGCATTCCAATCATTGCTGCCACCAACGTGGCGGCTGACGTCATCACGCCGACACTACTTAAGGAAGTGCTGGCGTTTCATTCATTGCTCAGTCATCGTTCTCACCAGACTTTGTATCGAGTCTCCAGGCTTACCAGCCCTCAAAACCTTCTAACCAAACCTTCAGGAGATAACCACGCCGGTTATTTCGTCACTCCGCGTCTGGGCAACAGAATCTCTCAGTCACGCTTCAGATCTGCCAACGAACCTGACAATGTTCTACCCAGACGTATGTTCTCCGTTTGTTAACCGTTTAGCTAGCTGAGCGAGGATACACGAGAGGTGTCTTGTAGCCTAGCCTTGATCAAAAATTACCCAGAATACACTGCAGTACTTTCAAAAGGACGGTGGATCAGAAGCTGGCAGATACTTCGGGGACAAGTAGGAAGAAGTTTAAAAGTAAGTGAACAAATTAAAAATGTTTTTTAGATCCAAAGAAGTTATCTATTGTTGGTTAGTTGCTTATTAGTTGCAGCTTCGGTGGCTAGCGGGTAGTAACTCGCTTATATTTTTAATTTAATAAACATACAGGTATACACAATTTAACACGTAATAGGCTCTTTATATTGAAACTAATACATATAAAATATAACGTTGTCTCCCATGTCACGTGATGTTACGTGACCGCCGTGGAAGCCGCAGTCGCAGTCACGGGATGCAAGTCTGTTCCATTTAACCATTTTCTTTGACAAAGGAAGGACAGTGTCCTCGTAAGTAAGGTGCCTGGTCTTTCAAGACATCGCCTCGCAAGGCCAGGCACCTTGACATTGAGAAACACCCATAGGTTCCCTATTGTCTTTGGCAACAAGAAGGATAGAATGGGCGTTATTGCTCAGCTGGACTCCAGGGGAATAAAGAAAAAAACCCAGATTAGAAATCTTGGTGTTATCATTGACTCCGACCTGAACTTCTCTGGACATATTAAGGCTATAACTAAATCAGCATTCTATCAACTTCATCAAATATCCTCTCCCTGGGCTGCCACCTTACCATGGTGGAGGGGTTTGAGTGTCTCAAACAACCTAGGAGATAAGTTGTCTGAGGCTTTCTGCCTCTGATAGGGTCACCCATGGTTTACCCTGGTGAATGAGAGGGTAGCCTCCCTCCGCCTACGTGTGGGGGAACGGGTTCTGACTGTGGTCTGTGCTTATGCACCAAGCTACAGTTCAGACTACCTACCCTTTTTGGAGACCTTGGAGGGGGTGCTGGAAAGCGCTCCTTCCAGTGACTCCCTCGTTCTGCTGGGGGACTTTAACGCTCACGTGGTCAATGACAGTGAGACCTGGAGAGGTGTGGTTGGGAGGAACGGCCCCCCTGATCTGAATTTGAGTGGTGTTTTGTTATTGGACTTCTGTGCCAGTCATGGATTGTCCATAATGAACACCATGTTCAGACATAAAGGTGTCCATATGTGCTCTTGGCACCAGAATACCTTAGGCCGCAGCTCGATGATCGACTTTGTTGTTGTTTCATCTGACCTGCGGCCGCATGTCTTGTACACATGGGTGAAGAGAGAGGCGGAGCTGTCAACTGACCACTATTCAATTCAATTCAATTCAAGTTTATTTATATAGCGCCAAATCACGACAAGAGTCGTCTCAAGGCACTTCACATAATAAACATTCCAATTCAGGACAGTTCATTAAGCCAATCAGAAATAATGTGTCCTATATAAGGAACCCAGCAAACTGCATCAAGTCACTGACTAGTGTCAGTGACTATACAGCAATCCTCATACTAAGCAAGCATAAAGCGACAGTGGAGAGGAAAACTCCCTTTTAACAGGAAGAAACCTCCAGAGAATCCCGGCTCAGTATAAGCAGCCATCCACCACGACTCACTGGGGAACAACTACCTGGTGGTGAGTTGGCTCAGATGGTGGGGGAGGATGCCGGTCAGACCAGGCAGGCCAAAACGTATCGCGAGGGTCTGCTGGGAATGTCTGACAGAGTCTCCCGTCAGAAGGAGCTTCAATTCCCACCTCCGACAGAACTTCCAAAATGTTCCGGGGAAGGCGGGGGACATTGAGTCTGAATGGACCCTGTTCCACGCCTCCATTGTTGAGACGGCCGACCAGAGCTGTGGTCGCAGGATCGTCAGTGCCTGTCGTGGTGGCAACCCCCAAACCCGCTGGTGGACATTGGTGGTTAGGGATGCTGTCAAGGTGAGGAAAGAATCCCATCAGGTCTTTTTGGCCTGTGGGACTCCAGAGGCAGCTGACAGGTACCCGCAGTCCAAGCGGAACGCGGCTCGGGTGGTTGCCAAGGCAAAAACCCGGGCATGGGAGGAGTTTGGTGAGACCATGGAGCAAGACTTCCGAACGGTTCGGGGGGGAAAGCAGTGTGCTACCAACACTAACTATAGTGGGGATGGTGTGTGCTGACCTCTACTCAGGATGTTGTGGATCGGTGGGCAGAATACTTCGAAGACCTCCTCAATCCCACCAAGACGTCTTCCAGTGAGGAAGCAGAGTCTGGGGACTTTGGGTTGGCCTCTCAAATCTCTGGTGATGAGGTCTCTGAGGTGGTTTAAAAGTTCCTCTGTGTCAAGGCTCCAGGGGTGGATGAGATACGCCCGGAGTTCCTTAAGGCTCTGGATGTTGTGGGGCTGTGTTGGCTGATGCGGCACTGCAATATCGTGTGGACATCGGGGGCAGTCCCAATGGACTGGCAGACCAGAGTGGTGGTCCCCTTGTTTAAAAAGGGGGACCGCAGGGTGTGTTCCAACTACAGGGGATCACACTCCTCAGCCTTCCTGGTAAGGTCTGTTCTGGGGTTCTGGAGAGGAGGGTCCGTCGGATTGTTGAACCTCAGATTCAGGAGGAGCAATGTGGTTTTCGTCCTGGCCGTGGAACACTGGACCCACTCTATACGATATATATATATATATATATATATTCAGCTTTCGCTGGAGTGGTTCGCAGCCGAGTGTGAAGCAGCTGGGATTAGAATCAGCTCCTCTAAATCTGAGACCATGGTCTTGATTTGGAAAAGGGTAGAATGCCTTCTCTGGGTCAGGGATGAGGTCCTGCCCCAAGTGGAGGAGTTTAAGTATCTCGGGGTCTCGTTCACGAGTGAGGGAAAACTGGAGCGTGAGATCGATAGGCGGATTGGTGCTGCGTCTGCAGTGATGCAGGCGTTGTACCAGTCTGTCGTGGTGAAGAGAGAGCTGAGACAGAAGGCGAAGCTCTCGATTTACCGGTCGATCTACGTTCCTACCCTCACCTATGGTCATGAGCTTTGGATAATGACCGAAAGAACGAGATCGCGGATACAAGAGGCTGAAATGAGTTTTCTCCGCAGAGTGGCTGGGCTATCCCTTAGAGATAGGTTGAGAAGCTCGGTCATTTGGGAGGGGCTCGGAGTAGACCCGCTGTTCCTCCACATCGAGAGGAGCCAGTTGAGGTTGCTCAGGCATCTGGTCAGGATGCCTCCTGGACGCCTCCCTGGTGAGGTTTGTCGGGCATGTCCAACCAGGAGGAGACCTAAAGGTAGACCCAGGACACGGTGGAGGGACTATGTCTCTCACCTGGCCAGGGAACGCCTTGGGATTCCCCCGGAGGAGCTGGCCCAAGTGGCTGAGGAGAGGGAAGTCTGGGCCACTCACCTTAGGCTACTGCCCCCGCGACCCGACTCTGGATAAGCGGATAAAAATGGATGGATGGATGGATGGATCAAATATCAAGAGTCAGAGGTCTCATGTCCAGATCAGACTTAGAGAAACTTATTCATGCTTTTATTTCTAGTCGGCTTGACTACTGCTAGGGTCTCCTAAATGGTCTTTCAAAAAAAGCTGTGAAGCAACTGCAGCTTGTTCAGAATGCTGCTGCTAGAGTCTTAACAAGAACTAAGAGAACGGAGCACATCACTCCTGTTCTTAGATCTCTACACTGGTTACCAGTAAACTACAGAATAGATTTCAAAGTGCTCCTACTGGTTTATAAACCACTCAGTATCATGGGACCAAAATACATCGATCTCATTCCTGTATAAACATCCAATCAGCTGGTAGAACCTCGGATCAGAACAAAACAAGGTGGAGATGCATTTAGTTACTGTGCTGCCCACATGTGGAATCAGCTTCCCCATGACCTCAGACCTGCCCCAAACCTAGTGTTGTTTAATAAACAACTAAAAACCCTAATGTACTCACCAGCCTTTAAATGAATTGTTTCTTATGCCATGTGGTCTCCACTGTAATCTGCTCTGTAACTGTGTCTCCCCCTTTAGCTCTAAACTGTAATTCCATCTGTGTGTGTTTTAATTTGTGTTTTTGTTGTTTTCACATCATGTCATGATCATTGTAAAGCACGATGAATTGTCTCCGTGTTTGAAATGTGCTCCACAAATAAAGCTGCCTTGCTTTGCCCTTCACCAGGCCATGCTGGGGGGGGGGGGGGGGGGGGGGGGGGGGGGGGAGAACGGCAGCACGAGCTCCAGGACAAAAGTGGAGTGACCCAAACATAAGATAAACAAATAGAAACACAGCGTCAGCGACTGATTTTAATAAATGACAAGTTTATTGTTGCACAAAATATACAAAATAACAAGCAAAATGGAGAGCCCCTC